ACAGCAGGGGCTGGCTGCCCACCTTGGAAAGACCCAACGGTCCTCTGAGCAGCTCCATGAACCAGGAGCCCAAGACAAGCTACCATGTTGCTCCTGCTGTGGACACGTCTGTCGTCCATTCTCTGGCCACGGCCACACTGACCAGCCCTATCCACAACTGTCTCACTGGACTGGCCCAGGAAGACACACAAAAATATCTAGGAAGACCCTGTCCCCAGCCAGCAAGGAAGGTCAGGGCAGTCACAGAAGAGGCCAGCGGCGAGGGGACTGTGAGCCTGACCAACTGGACCTGGCAGGGGCGGGCAAGGCCAGCTCTGAAGGCCACCTGGTGGGCCAAGCCACCCTGAAGGGGAGCAGAGCCTGACCCCGCCAGCCAGGGAGTGCAGGCCCTGGGCTCCCCGCCCGACCACTCGGTCAACAGCAGAACCTGCCTGCTGATCCACACGGCTGAAATGACACGTGAACCAGTCAACCCTGTTCAAAGTTCCACTGACAATGGGAACAAAGACCTGAGGGTGCAGAAGGTGTTCCCACAGAAGCAGAACAGGGGAGCCAGGGAAGAACCCCAGGAAACCCTGGCCCAGGAGCTCAAAATGACAGCGGGTAAGTGGGACAAACACAGAGAAGGGCTAGGAATGGAGCTCTTTCCTAGTTTGAGACAAAGACCTAAGCAAAACACATCACTTTCCTCAAATCAAGTATGTAAAACCACTACGCGGCTCACGCACGGACCAACAAGGACCCACACCCAGGCCTCCCAAAGGGAAACTGGACGCCTGTGGCCGTGCTGGACCACAGCAGCCCCACCGCAGGGGATGAGGGACTGTGGCAGAGACACAGGCAAAGCAGCCCCCAGGACAGAGGGGTCAGCATCCGAGGCCTGACCCTCCTGACACATTCCTCCACGCAGATTCCACCCCAGGACAACTAACCGGCTCTCCACGGGAAATGCATCCCCTAACACGTGAGGCCCAAGCTTCTGGCCCTGTTGTGGTAGCTGCCCATTCAGTACCCACTGTCCTCCTCCCTTTGCGTTACCCGCTGCCTTCCTTTGGAGGACCACACCCAGCTCCCCACTGGGGAGCAGGCGTCTGTCTGGGTGGAGCACCCCACTTTCCTTCAGGAATGGCCCTGCTGCGCAGCCCCCAGTGCATACACCATGACTGTGCTGAGACAGACAGGACACAGCGGCACACGTGCCCTCCTCAGAGCAAGGGCAGGCCCATCCTTCAGAGCTGCGGGAAGCATCTGCAAACAAGGGAGCCCGGAGCCCAAGGTCACTGCAGCAGCCACCTCCAACACAAAAGCCCACAAAGCCGCCCACCAGGCAGGCAAAGTCAGACTGGCACAAAGCGAAGGTGCCAGGCCCTGACTGAGGCACACCCAAGGCTCTGCCCCAACAGCGCCCTTCAGGGTTGGGCCCAGGTGGGTGGCTTTCCACGACTTCCAACTTAGTGCACCCTCACCCACCCCTGGCAGGACAGAATGTTCCAAACGTGAGGAACACAGCCTGGACTTCATGCCCTGTCCGTGCTGACAGGCAACCACTCCAACATCAGAGATCTTCAAACCACAGGCTGCACCACGGGCCACCTCCCACAGAGAGGATTCAACTGCAGACAGGACTCCCAAGCTCCAGGGTCCTCTGCCACCAGCAGCCCCACAGCAGGCAAGTCAGCACCCAAACTGTGTAGACACAGCTACACAAAATTAGACAGGAAAAGCCAATGTCTCCCACTAATTTTATAGCAAAGGTTGCTTATTACAAATACAGCAAACTAAGGACAGACGGCAAAGCTACTGCTCGCAGCCAAGAACTGAGAGTGGCTGCGAGGGAAGCACTGCGGTTCTAACAGCGGAAATCAGAACGGAGCTCATCTTCTTCCTGCAGCCCAGCCCTCAACTTCAGTCCCATCTTAAAAATAACCAGCCGGGGCGCAGTGGCTCACACCTGGAATCCCAGTGCTTTGGGAGGCTGAGGCGGGCGGATCTCCTGAGGACAGGAGTTCGAGACCACACTGGTAGAGACTGGGGTAGAAAGCCCGTCTCTACCAAAAATACAAAAAATTAGCTGGGCATGGTAGCTCACACCTGTAATCCCAGCTACTCAGGAGGCTGAGGCAGGATAATCACTTGAACCCGGGAGGCAGAGGTTTCAGTAAGCTGAGATTGCACTACTGCACTCCAGCCCGGGCAACAAAGTGAGACTCCATCTCAAACAAAAAAACAAACAAAAATAACCAGCCAGGTGCAGTGGCTCACGCCTGTAATCCCCACACTTTGGAAAGCTGAGATCACTGGAGTCCAAGAGCTCGAGACCAGCCTGGCCAACATGGCGAAACCCTATCTCTACTAAAAATACAAAAATTAGCCAGGCGTGGTAGCACACATCTGTAATCCCAGCTACTCGGGAGGCAAAAGAATCACTTAACCCCACGAAGCAGAGGTTGCGGTGAGCTGAGGTCGTGCTACTGCACCCCAGCCTGTGAGACAAAGTGAGACTCCATTTCAAAAAAAAAGAAAGAAACTCTCAGTTATACCAGCCTTATTCAACAGGATACCTTTACGGCATATTGTGTCCTAAAACTTTTGCTAAATAAATAGCACTTGGCTAAAGACAATGAACAAAAAAGAAAAAAAGGCCGGGCATGGTGGCTCATGCCTGTAATCCCAGCACTTTGGGAGGCCGAGGTGGGTGGGTCAGGAGGTCAGGAGATCGAGACCATCCTGGCTAACACAGTGAAACCCCGTCTCTACTAAAAATACAAAAAATTGGCTGGGCATGGTGCTGGGTGCCCGTAGTCCCAGCTACTCAGGAGGCTGGGGGAGGAGAATGGCGTGAACCCAGGAAGCAGAGTTTGCAGTGAGACGAGATGGTGCCACTGTACTCTAAGCCTGGGCGATAGAGTGACTCCATCTCAAAAAAAAAAAAAAAAAAGGAAAAAAAAA